CCTTAGGTGTACGTGGCTGGCGCCTTAGCCGGTTGAGCTATAGGCGCCGAGCCGAATGAGCTGATTTAACAGGGATTGTTATAAAAGGATCAAAGTAGATGCAATGAGACTAGTTTAGAGACTATTGGGATAATCCGGGCCACAGTCGCTCAGACCAAAGTGTTAGCAGTAGAGCTAGGTTCTGGTCGAAAGTTGAAGGTAGGAGTAATAAGGTTTCCTAGGGTACTGCATGCAGGGAACGTGAGAGAGCAGGTCGTGGTTACGGACCTCACCTTTTGTTGTCTGAGCAATTGAAAGAATGGAGTTATCTTTAACACTGGTCAGAAGGCAGTAGTGGGGGGCAGATTTTGTGGGGAAGGTTGGGGGTTCAGTGTTGGACATAATTGGGCGTGAGATGTCATTCAGATATCCAGCTGGAGGTGCTGAATAAGCAGCTGCGTGTGCAAGTGTGGAGTTTGGAATGGAGATGCTATATCATGTTTGAGCGTGGGTATAGTCACCAAGGGAGTGAGTGTTGGTAGAGAAGAGGAGAGGACCGAGGGCTCAGTCTTATGACCCTACAGGGTTAATACGTTGGGGAGAAGAGGAGGATCTGGCAGGGAACCTGAGAAGCAACCCCAGAGGTAAAGGAAAAATGAGAGAGTACAGTGTTCTGCTGGCCACGGGAGGAAAGTATTGGAAAGGGAGGGAACGTTCAGTAGCGTCAGTGGCTGGGAAGAGATTAGGCAATGTATCCAAATGGGTACGCATGAATGCAGAATCTCTCTCCAGATGGATACAGTGGAGGTCAGTGGTGACCTTGATGACAGCAGCTTCCTTGGAGTGATGGGTACAAAACTGATAAAGGGGACTTAATAGAGAATCAGAGGAACGGAACTGAAATGTATTGAAGTTGACAACTCTTGAGTTTTGCCACAAAGAGATACCAAGAAAAAAAAAAAAGAAAAAGTAAATGGTGGCTAGTGAAGACAAGAGAAGGATTTTTTAGTTTTTAAAATTATTTTTATTTTTTTTTGAGACAGTCTCCTTATGTTGCCCTCAGTAGAGTGCAGTGGCATTGTAGCTCATAGCAACCTCAAACTCTTGGGCTTAGGCAATTCTCTTGCCTCAGCCTCCCGAGTTGCTGGGACTACAGTTGCCCATCATGACACCTGGCTATTTTTTTGTTGTATTTTGGCCAGGGCTGGGTTTGAACCTGCCACCCTCGATATATGGGGTCAGTGCCCTACCCAGTGAGCCACAGGC